ACACGTAAACGCAAAAAAGGAGTTTTAAAAAATCTCAGTTTTCGGTGATTTGAAACGCCGTTTACGTGGACGCAAAATATGGGGGTGTGTGATTGGAGGATGTGTTTGTGCGTGTGCGTGCACGCGAGCGGGGGGCGTGAACATTTTTCTTGTAAAACAAAGGGAGGCCAGCAAAAAAAGTTTGGGAACCACTGGGCTAGAGAAACCATTGTGTCAATGAAGGTCCTCACTAAGATAGCTGAACGGGGTTGTGTGTGTGTGTGTGTGGTAAGACTAAGAGAAAGAGACTGAGAGAGGGAGATTTCCTTTTTAGCATCCAGGGAGTTTGTTCTTGTTTCTGGGTTCACAGGAAGTTCAGAATATTTCTGTCAGAGCTCCAAGATGGCCTCTTTGAGGGGCAATCTTATTTACTGCAGAAGCAGTGAGAACAGAGTAGAGGTGTTCCTGTGCATTCCTGCATGTATCCCATCTGTAATGGGCAGCAGCAGTCTAGGTGGGAGCAGGAACAGCAAAGAGGAAATGCTGGTGTTTGTGTGCTTTAATGAGCCACAGGGGAGGCTAGGTGTGTGGAGCTGACAACACAATACAACTTTCCCTGCAGTCAATCTGTCAAGATCAAGGTTTGTGAAAACAGATACAAAAGACACAGAATGGCTGTCCTGTTTTCAAAGAAGTATTTTGTCAAAACAATTCAGTAGCATATCCTTAAACCGCTGTTTAAACTGCGCCATGCTCGGACTTTGCTTCATATCTTTACTTAGTCTGTTGCACAGCTTCACTCCACACAGAGAGATGCAAAAGCTTTTTAATGTTGTACGGATACGAGGATGTTTTAAATTTAATTCCCCCCTCAAATTGTGTCCCCGTTCCCTTTTAGAAAACAGTTTTAGAATATTGTCAGGAAGCAGGTTATTTATTGCTTTATACATAATGTGTGCAGTGAGAAAATGAACCAGATCTGTGAATGTTAGAGTTTTTGATTTTAAGAATAGTGGATTTGTATGATCTCTGTGACCGGTTTATGGATTATCCTTATGGCCCTTTTTTTGTAATATAAAGGCTGATGATAGCGAACATGTGTAAGTATTGCCCCACACCTCTGCACAGTAATTAATGCAAATACGGTGCAATCAGGGAACAATAGAGAATGTGGAGTGATGTGTTTTACTCAAGATTGAGACACTTCTTGAAATTTTGTTATGTATATGATTTATATGAGACTTCCAGTTTAATTTATCATCTATAATCACACCAAGAAACTTATGTTCAAGTACTCTTTCAATTTCCACACCATCTATATGAACCTGCACTTGTGCATTTCTAAGGGAATTCCCAAATAAGACTATTTTAGTTTTAGTTAGATTTAGCGATAGTTTGTTCCTGTTAAACCATTTTATAATTCTGCACATTTCTGAAGTAATTGTATCCAGCAGCTCCTTTAGATTTCCCCCAGAACGAAAAATGTTTGCGTCGACTGCAAATAATACTAATTTAAATATATCAGATGCCTTACAAATATCATTTATATAAATAATAAATAATTTTGGACCCAGTACAGAGCCTCGTGGAACACCACAAGCAATGTCCAAGCATGATGAGGAATGGACACCCAGCTTCACAAATTGTTTCCTGTCACTTAAATAATTTTTCACTCAGTGCAGTACAACCCCCTTGTCCCATATCATTCCAGTTTGCATGCAGTTCTACAGGGTAAGTAGAATGAAGTCAAACTTACTAAGATAGTTAGAAACTGGTGCTATAAAATGTATTTTGTGCATTTAAACGATTTAAACGAAGAAAATATGCTAGCTTTTGTTGCTAGCAATAAAGAGTTAACGCAAACTGTTAATAGCCTCTAACTATATCAGTGTTACAGATCACATTCAAGCTGTTAGTGATGAAAGAAACCCCAAGTAAACTGCTCAGGCTGGCATTAGTGCCCCTCTATTGTATCATTCTTTGGTCATCATGGGATAGTCGTGGGTATGTATTCAGTGTATATTGTATTCTTTATACCTGTGCCAAATATTTGCATATTAATTGTCTAAATTTAAAAAACTTATGTGAAAGTCAATATTTATTTATACAACACAAATTTGTTTAATGATGGACAAAACATTATCTGATATTTTGTTATGAGCTAAATCTGACAAAATATTTTGTGTTTACACTTATCCAAGAGCACTTTTATGATGCAGCATGGCGTCTGAAAACTGTCCAAAGAAAGATTCGTTGTGGATCTCCAACACCATCTAATAGGTTGACAGACAGTTCTTCGGGTGGCCCAAATCTCCAAAGGACTGTGAATGTTATGCACCAGCTTGATGGGGATGCTTGCAAGGAGACCCTGTCTTTGCTCAACCATACTACAGACAACTCTGTGATTTTCCAGAAGATGAAGAAGACCTTTCAGCACCATCAGAGGCTTGTTAATGACCCAAGCAGAAGCGTTGGCATCCTATCCACTTTTCCAAGATTCCTGGAGACAAAAGAACTGGTAAGTTAGAATTTATTTTTTAAAATGGTTTGGAATTTGGAGCTAGCAGTTGTTTCAAATACAATTTTCTTTGTGTCCTCAGGATTCCCATATGCTTGTTTGCCCTTCACCTAGGGACCATTTGTGATCCGAGGACACCACGAGGGTTACAGGTGAAGCAAGACTTCACTCTCCTGTTCGATGACGACACATCCTCCAGGTTGCTTCAGAAATGGAAAACGTTCTTCAGGGCAAATGTCATAAAAGAGGCTAAGAAGCTCACTCCAACACCAGAGTTGCTTCCTTTGGTGTCGTCAGCAGAAGGTCAGAAAATCATCAAGATGATTCTACAAGTGAACTTGTTTGGGGGTTTTTGTATATTAAATGTTAAAGCTGCATTCAGGGGCAAATATTAATTTGTTTCCGTGTTTTCTTACATTTAAATTCATACAATTAAGACGAATTAAATCTTTGTCCACTTTTCTAGTTTTGCTCTTAGAATATAATATCAAATCAAACAAACCATTATCTGTTTTCATTTGTATGTTCATCCTGAACTAATAATCCTATAGATTTTTTTCTTCCTGTGAATCTCTAAAAATTGATCTACTTTTTGATAACTTTCAACAATAGATCGAAGACTCATAAGCAGTAGCGGGGGGGGGGCATACTGGGCTTAAGCCCGGGTTGTTTTGTCAGAAGCCCGGGGTCTGTTGGAGTGTAATTTTTTCATAGTTACATGCCTGGATGACAACTGTATAAAACAAAAACTACACACGATATTCAAAGCACATAGTGCACACTGTGGGAATTTACGTCTGTGCGTAAATCCCCCCTAATATTGGTATGATCCGAGCTCAGACACTAAGCGACTGAGCGAGGGGGCGGGGCAGCTGCTGCCTGTTGGAGAAACGCAGACAGAGGAGAGCTGAAGTTTGAGCAGGTACCAAAGCAAATCATTCGTACTGTACAAATAATGTAAATATGACGGTGAATCACGAAAGATTGATGTCAAACTGATCACTTGACTCATATATTACGTTACTTGCTCTTCGAGTGAATCAACAAACAGAGAAATGAAAAGTTGAACAACAACAATGCTGTTTCTTTAGAGTCCCAGCTTACATGTTTATTTCATATTTTCAGTTGTTTCCCTCCACGGCTAAATAAATCAGTAATGCACTGATACACAAGAATGGACATGAGGAGCTTCTTTCAAAGAAACAACTCAGGTAGATGTTATTTTATATATTATGCTTTGTATGTTGTTCAGTATATTTCTATGCAAAACAAGAGGAACTTCAACACACAGCAGTATATTCACAGTTTAAACCAGATATTTACACTTTATGGAAAACATAAAAACATTATTTTACTGTTAAACATCAATTTACTTGTTTTGTTTTGGTTAAATAAATATTGAAATATCTTTTAAATTAGTTAAATGTCAGAATAAAGAGAGAGAGCTATTTTTTTCTATCTATCTATCACTTTCATCAAATGTAGGAGTACATACACACTAAGTTTATTGTTAATTAATATGGAAACTGCAGACTTTTCCATTCTGAGCTGAAGAAGCTTCTGATTGGTTGGTAGAGTCCATGTGAGTAAACTGGTGGCACAGCTGTGGATGCATATAAGGCAAAACACAGAGGCTGTTTCTGTGACATGGGAACATCAGGAGATGTCAACAAAACACCAGGAAAAGAACTGTGCAGCTCCATAAGTGTGGCTCAGTTTGAATACAGTTTGGTGCCATTTACAGTTAAGAAATACAGACAGTTTCTCTCTTTACTCTGAAAGTTAACAAATATGTTTTTATATTTATCTAAAAAATAAACATTTAGTCTGATTTGATGTTACAATTAAAAAAGTGTTTTAGTCTGAAGAGTTTGTAAATATCTGGTTTCCACTGTATATTTGATGATGTTGGTGTTTGGCTTGACTGTCAGCACAGAGAGAGAGAGAGAGAGGGCGAGAGAGGGAGAGGGCAAGAGAGAGAGAGAGGGCGAGGGAGGAACAGAGAGAGAGGAGCAGAGAGGGAGAGATGAACAAGAGCAGATTAGACACACCTGTTAGTCAAATGGTGGTTTACCAAAAGTATCACCGTATCATAGGGACTCATGTATCTCGTATCCAGTGTTTCTTTTTAGGTTTGTTATTTTTCAAATTCTACATTTATTAAGTTCTGCGGGCTTGTTTGCACAACAAGGCTAAATGCAGGTCTATGATGATTTTTAGTGCTGCTATCATCTAGTTCTGATTCTGGTTCTGTCTTGGTTAAATCCTCAGTAGTCCTGATTTTGAACTGTTGTAGTCCTGTTTTAATTCCAGATCAGTTCTGGGTCTGGTTGAATTTGGGTTTAGTCCTCGTGTCTTGATACAGCCCGACTTTGTTCTGCCTCGCTGCTTAATTAAAAAGTTAGTTTAAGGTGTCCTGCATATGTGACATATATTTTTCCCTACATGAAGTCATTGTTTTTTGAACAAAAGTCAAAACAGAGCCTATTAATCTTTCAGTCCTTTTTCTCTGTATTTGGACATCATTTCTGTGAATGATTTTCAGTTTCCTGATGTCAACCCCAGTCATGCTGCAGTCTGGAAGAGCATCTCTGCAATCAACAAGGTCGCTGTCAGGCGTCAGAAGAGCAAGATTGACACCTTGTACATCAACATGGTTAAGCATCTCATTCCATGCCAGGCGAGCCACTCACTTGGGGCATTTGATGAACTTTTCAGAGCACATTTTGTGTTTAATTTGTCCCAAGATAATATAAATCTGGACTTGTTATTTGCAGTGCAGTGGAAGAAGACATGTCTGTCTTTTACCAAGTTATTTACTTTTGGTTAAAGATAAGAAAATGTTATGGGAAACAAGTTGTTTACAGAGTGTTTTGATAACCATCTGTATGCATTCAGAGTTGTACATACCAAGGAGAGATGCATAGTGAAAATGTCAGATCTAACGTTTTATATAGCTTTTGATAAGCAAAGGTCAGACAATGTTTCAGATTAGACAGAGTACATTGTACCTTCATTCACATTTTTTGAAGACAAAATAAATGTCCTTTTTGGTCAAATTCATTGTGTGCAACGTAATTCTTTCTCAGAATTTAATTTTAACACTTAAGTGTAAAAAGCCTGACAGTAAAGGGAGTGAAGCCAACACTAACCAGAAGGTTAAAAATTATATCTCAGTAGAGTCACTTATTAGTGTTATTGTAACTGTGTGTTGAGATCTAAAACTCTGGCACAGTGTTAAATATTTTACCTTGTTCAAAAATGTTGATTTAACTCTAAAGAGTGTGGAGCTGTATAAACCCTGAAAAGTGTTGAAAATGACTCTGTGGGAAATAACACTGGTCTTTTTGCTGTGAAGCCCTCTGGCCTTATGACACGGTGCTCCCTCAGGCTGGAAAAGGCGTTGGTCTTCACCAAACTGGATGGTTGGAAGAAGTTGCTGTTTTGGTGCCATTCTTTATTCATGGCTGGGTTCTTTGCCAAAATTGTGAGTGAGTCCACTCCCTTGAATGAGAAGCAGGCCCACACATGAATGGTCTCAGGATGTTTTACCGTTGGCATGAGACAGGACTGATGGTAGCGCTCACATTTTCTTCACCGGACAATCCTTTTTCCAGATGCCCCAAACAATGGGAAAGGGGCGTCAAAAGTATTTGCCTCCCTGTGTTCGCAGATGCACTCACACCTACCTACTGCCATTCCAGAGCAAGCTCTGCACTGGTGGCACTCCGGTCCCGCAGCTGAATCGTGTTTGGGAGACGTTCCTGGCCCTTGCTGGACTTTCTTGTGCGCCCTGAAGCAGTCTTAGCATCAACTGCACCTCTTTCCTTGAAGTTCTTGATGATTCAATAAATGGTTCATTTACCTGCAGTCTTAGTAGCAACAACATCCTTGCCTGTGAAGCCTTTTTATGCAACGCAGTGATGTCTTCTTGCAGGTAACCATGGTTAACAGGAAGAACAATGATTTCCGATTGCCGATTCCAGTCTACTATTCTAATTCAATCAGCGGGACATAATGATCTCCAGCCTGGGGCTCATCGACATTCTCACGTGTGTTAACGAGAAGATTATTGAAATGATCTCAGCGGGTCGTTTTATGGTATGAAATGCTGATCATGAAATGCAGTGGAAATGGGTTGTTTGGGATTAAGTTCAAAAGAGGGACTTTGCAGTTCATCTGATCACTCTTCATAACATTCTGGAGTTTAAGCGAATTGTTGTCATGAAAGCTCCGTTATGATAAGACAACGCAGTTGCACTATTGAGCACACGGTCTGGGGCACTAGAGGTTAAGCTAATACCTTTTACTTGCAACATGTTTTTATGACAAGTTTTACAACTGCTCAGCCAGTAGTTGGCAATTATTTGCATAGAAACATGAAAAACTGCAGGACATCTTGGCAATGTGCTAACAACCAAACAACACTGTTTTTTTGTTCTGCACATTCTTTGCAAATGATTTCACGCTGGACCGCCAGCAATCCTCAGGAACCGCTCCCAACCTGTTGGAAAATACACATTTTTCACTATAGCAACTGCTGCTTGCATCACATGCAACTCTTGAGCAATGCATGCTTGATGACTCTTTATCTTGAACACTGATATGTTTCTGTAATCATATAAGAAGAGGAAGAATTTACAGTGCATCTTTCTTTAGCTTGGACAGAGCATGTGTTTAATCCCATTTTTACTTTGCTTCTTCCTGACACAAAACACAATAGCAGGAAATAGTGACAAGTGATGTGTGCCAATAAATCAGCATTGTGTCTGAACACACCGCTCTCCTGTTTCCCATCCCATAAATGAAAACATGATAAAATGTAATGTCTCGCTTCCTGCTGGTAGGAGGTGATGATGAGGTGATGATGGGACCTGGACAGCAGCTTTGGTGTCTCTGCGAGAACATATTCTCTTTAACACTTCCCCTGCTTTCCTCAAAAAGACACAATAACAAGGCTTCATACGAGTGAGAGCCCTTTAAAGCCAATCAACTGAGGAAAATAGAGAGCAGTTGCTGGTTTCCACAAAAGAGAGACTATGCTTTGAGACTATGCTGTTTTAGGATAACAGTAAAGTAGCAACAACAGCGTCAATGGCTAGTTTATTTCTAAAAGCTGCTTTCTCATATTTTCTGTCAGCTGTCGTAGGAAGATGGTGCTGCACAGAGTTTCACTGTCCAGTAAACATCACAGAAAACTATGTTTGAATCTTTTTTTAGTTTGGAAAAAAAAAGGGGGGGGGGTGGGGTATCATTATTCTTGTGCTGACAATGGGCCAAAGGACTGTGTGTTATATAAGCAGTTTCTACCAGGGACAAAAACACAGAGAACTCGCTGTCGACCCTCCAGCATGTGAAAGGTTTTTCATAGATATAACACATAGTTTTAGTTGAAAAAAATGTCAGATGGTATAGATATCTCTGGAAAAATGACCCCTCAGCCCCCCGATCTATGATGAGTTTATTATTTCAATCTGTGACTCTGGTCTTATTGAATATAACACGATGTTCTCTTTATGACACGTGGTTCCTATTAGAGTCAAAAGACACGATGAAGCAAGGCAGCAGACCTACACACCCCATGTAGGTCTACTGAGTACGTACCCTTGCTCAGCTCTCTCAGCCTGAGGCTCCAAGACAGCAGTGGGTCACAGGAGCTACTTCCAGCCCTTAAATACAGTTTATTTGGAGATTATGTATCGGAATTTCAGGAGCGGGACCACGCCTCCAAACACGCTCCTCCCGGTTGTCATCTGTCATCGGTTCCCCCAGTTCTGCAAACTGTTCATTGTCGTTTACGTGCCCCACCATCCCTCCTTGTTCTCAATTCTTTAACTTCTTCATTTCTATTTAGTCCACGGGGATCTGCCCGGAGCCGTCGTCAGTCCCCTCGAGGCCTTCCCCAAACTGCAGCTCAATTCATGTCCAAGCATCACTTTTACCTACTAAAACGCTGTCAAACCTAAAACGAGGACGTGAGCCCAGCTAGTGAAAGTCTGTTTTAACAACTTATTTTTATTTCTGGTCTTGTGGTTTGCACCTAATGACCTGTTGTGAGAATTTTGCACCTTAATTTAATGGTGGAAAAATTCATCTTTAAAAAAGAGTGCAAAATTAAGTAAAGGTGTATCGCTGTTCACCTCAAGTCTATTCATTGTTTGATATTATTACTGGAAATGAATTTGAATTAGAGATGCACTGAATCAGCTGACTTTCGCAGCTCTTGGTTTGAACTGGTCACCAGTCAGTCAGTCAGTCTACAGCGTGACTGCTCACGAACCAGTCTGTGTCTGTGTCCGAATTCAGGGGAAGGATGCTTAAACTGCCATATTTGGATGCAACGACGTCACAGCAACACGACTGAGGTGTGGCGACAAACGCGTCCTACTTTTCCCCAAACTTTAAGGATGGGTCCGATGTGTCCTTCGTGCCCTACCATATCCCAGGATTCATTGCGGGTCATACAGGAGATTTGTTTCTGATAACGATGGTGGTCGAAGCGGGAGAGAAAAACACTTTCAAATGTAATTATATGAAAATCTGGTTGTACAAAAGTTGTTATAGCGGTTGTGTTGTTAAGCTTTGGGCATCTGCATAGACTTTTTTTTAATTTATTTAAATAACCGTAAACCAGCTTGTATGGTGGGTCCCGCACTTTTTCATGTATTGCCGCTTACATACAGCTAATTTTGATTTTTTCGAATTGGTGACATGTTGTGGGGAACAAAGACCAAACGGCTTAAATTATTAAAACGAGGAGAAAACGATCACCTCTTCACTGGGGTGAAGAATTGGGCCGCTATGGCGTGGAGGTACAAGAATAAAT